ACTTTCAAACATTCCTGAGGAAAAGACCAGAGCTGAATAGAAAATGTGACCTTTAAATACAAGACTCAAGTGAAACATGGAAGAGATAAACAGGAAAGAGAAATCATAAGAAACTTATTAAGGTTGAACTGTTTACATTCTTGCATGGAAAGATGATATTTGTAACTCATGAGTCCTTTGTCACTATTAGGGTAGTGGGAGGGGAAAATTACATGTATGTATGTATGTATGTATGTATGGATAGATAGAAAGCACAGGGTGAGTTGAAGATGAAGGGGTGATATCTGGAGAATAAAATTAAGGGGTGAGACAAGATTGTACTGGGAGAAGGAGAAAGGGAGAAGTAGAATGGGGTAAATTATCTCACATGAAATGGACAAGAAAAGGCTTTTACAGTGAAGGGGGAAATGGGGAAAAGTGAGAGGGAATGAGTGAACCTTTTTCTCATAGGATTTGACTTAAGGAGGGAATAACATACACATTGGGGTATGGAAATCTATCTTACCCTACAGGAAAATAAGGGAGAAAGGGGACAAGAGAGCAGGGAGTTGATAGAGGGGAGGGCAGATTTGGGGAGGGGATAATCAGAAGCAAACACTTCTGAGGAGAACCAGGGTCAAAAGAGAGAATAGAATAAATGGGGGGTAGGATAGGATGAAGGGAAATACATTTAGTTTTTCACAACGGGACTACTATGGAAGTATTTTGCATGACTGAACATCTATAACCTGTGTCGAGATGCTTGCCTTTTCAATGAGGGTGGGTGGGGAGGTAGGAAGGGAGAAAATTTGTAAACCAAAGTTTTAAAAACACATGTTAAAAAAAATTAAATAAAATGAAGAATTTTAAAAAAAGTAGAATTTACTCTAAAGATAATTTAGTCCAATGGTCTCATCTTAGAAGTGAAGCAATTAAGGTATAAGCATAAGGTAAAGTGACTGTTCAAAGTCACATAGATAGTAACAAAACCAGGGTGAGAGCTGATTCTCAGAAAATCAAAGTATCCTAGATTATTGGACCTAGAAGAGAACATAGGGGTTATCTAGTCTCATTTTACAAAGACGGAAACAGGGCTAGGAATATTAAGTGACTTTCTACAGTCACACAGATGTTAAGTTGGATTCCAAAACAGGTTTTTTGAGTCTTTTGACGCCAAAAGAATACTCAACACCAGACATATTTCCAATGCTCTTTCAACTAGATAACATTTAATGTTTGGGACAAGTATTTAGTATTCAATCCTACACCGTGGAGTTAGTTAGGAAATAAAAAATGGAGACAAAATCTATTTTTTTTTTTTTTTTTTGCAATTAACAAATGATATTAGCTTACATCCATGCAAAGCACTTTTCTCACAACAATCCTAAGAGATAATAATACACCGTTAATATCCTCCACTTTATAGATGAGGAAACTAAGTCCTAAAGTGATTATAATTGGTCCACAGTAACATGGCTTGAGGTAAATGATAAAACCAAATGCTTGAACCCAGATTTCTTCATACCATGCTGCTGAAGGGCCCTTTTCTTGGTGGTCCCAAATTTAAACTTTTATCGCTACCAAAAAAAGCCATGTTCAAATTAATAAATCTTTGTGGAAAAGTGTGGAATCTTGTACAATACCAATGCATTTTAAAGAACATCAGCATACCATTGATTATAAGGAAGCACTCTTATTAATATCTTATTGGGTTGGAAATAATTAGGATGTTATGAATGTTAATATTATGACAAAAAGTCCAGGTTGGCAATTCTTACTACTAATATTCACATTAGTAGGTGTATAATTAGAATTAAAAGCACGTGTGTCCCTTAAAGCACCTTGCCTCATTATTGCAATGAAATTAATTATTTCCATAAAAGATATTCGTAAGATTCTACTTGAAGCTAATCAAATCGGATAAATCCAGAATGAGATGGTGTGATAATGCAAATTATATCTGTCTCCTTAGAAGACTGTCTAAAGCGAGGCTCTCCAACTTGTGACTGATGAGGAGATATTTAGGGCTTGACAGAGAAGAGGACACTATTTATTTCCTTTCTTGATATGAGGAACTCCATTTTAGAATGCCTCCATTTCAGGATAATTGTATTCCCTTATCCTAGTTATTGTGCAAAAATAAGACATAACCTTTCTTTTTCAGCTTCCTCAATGGGGGAAGAGCATCTTAAACCTTAAAGTGTTATGCAAATATGAGTTTTTCTTATCTGATAATTATTATGCTTTCTTTTATTCCAACTGTTTTGTACTTAATTAAACAAGCCCTAGAAAAGAGAAATTCATATTTAGATAACTGTTGTACAAATAAATTTGGGATATAAATGTAAAACATGCAATTTGGGTTTGAGACTAATCATACAAGCTAAAGGCAGGTTTCCAATTCAAAAGAGACTGTCCCTGCAAGTACCAAATCTCTCAAGTGAGTAGTTACATATGTTAGAAAAAAGCTTTATTCAGAATATGTCTACATGAAAGAATTAGAAAATAATAGTTTATCAGTCTATGTCTTATAACATTTTACATCAAATTCTCACCTTGATGGTATGGCACAAGATCTTGACTTTTTTGTTGTTCTGTTGCTTTCAGTGGTATCTGATTCTTCAAGACCCCATTTGGGGTTTTGTTGGCAAAGATACTGGAGTGGTTTGCCACTTCCTTCTCCAGCTCATTTTATAAATGAAGAAACTGAGGCAACCAGGGTTAAGTGACTTGCCCAGGATCACACAGCTAGTAAATGCCTCAGGCCAGATTTGAACTTGGGAAGAGGAGTCTTCCTGACTCTATTCCCAGTGTTCTCTCCACTGTGCCACCTGACTCCCAAGCTCTTGTCTAGACTACATGAATAAAATGCAGAACTATTTTAATTGTATGCACTACAACAAGAATATTTGGCAGAATATAGTTGCTCAGGAAATGTCAAGACCCCAGTTTCTAACCATCCATGAATGGAGGAAGAGAAAGGAAAGAGTGACAAGTGTCTAAAAGTTTTTATTTCTTCAGAAGGCTACCTTCTCATAGATAATAGCTGAGCAAAACTTTGACTTGCAGTAGGGTGTTAACAGGGAGCTAATAAATGAATATCAAACCTACCTGAGCAAGCAATCCTAGATAATGAGAGACAAGGCTGGAAAGCCCTAGACTATGAGTCTCAAGGAAGAGCAATTCTGCATAGTCATTCATTCCATCAATAAACATTTATTAAGCACCTACTATGTGCTGGGCACAGTGCTAAGTAGAAATGCAAATCCAAAGAAGAAAGAGTCCCTACCCACAAGGAGATTACAATAGTAGTCACATAGTAGGCACTTAATAAATATTTATTGAACAAACTAAAAAAAAAAGGAAGACAATGCACAAAAGGAAGCCGACGAAGGGGAGAGGGGGAAAGGTACCTTACACAGGGCATGATGGAAAAGCCAGAGCAGGCTCAAGGTAGTTTACCCAGTTGGGAAGTGAAGAGGTGTCTGGATTGAGGCTCCTCCTTAAATAAAGGTTTGGGAATTCACACCTCCACCATCAGAGGAGTAGAGGGTAGTGCTGAGGTAGAAGTACCAGGGCTTTTTCAATCTTGCAGGATGATGAGGCTTAAAGGTTCCTGGAGCATGATGGAGAAATCAGAGAAGTCTCGAAGTAGTTCAACCAGGTGGGAAATCAGGAGATGGAGTGAGGGTAAAAGAGCTATTTGAAGCTACCAGCTGTTACTCAGGTTCTTTTCGATTGCAACAAGGCATATCCTCAATGCCTTGGGGATTTGATGCAATGGTATTTGTTTCTACTCTTGCCTTCACCTCCCCATCCCCCAACCACTGTGACCCTGCCTCAACCCTCTTCCTACTTCCTCTGATATGCACTCCAGGGCCCACTCCCTAGCCCAGTCTGGAAGAGTGGAACTTCACCCTCTGCCTGGAAGCCACAGAGATTAGTAAATTGAAAGATTTTAGTACTTTTATCCCATCTCTCTGCCATGTTCTCTCTTAGTCAATAGGAAGAAGGCCTTGGCCAGCTTCTCAATCATCTCATTCTCCATCTTCCATTGGAAGTCTCAGGACCTATGGATCTTTGAGGCTTATGTTGGGGGAGGACAAGACCTAGATCAGAATCTTTGCTTTTGCTTTCATTCTTCATCTCTTGCTTCTTATCATTGCCTACCAGCTCAGTTTCCTCATCTGTAAAATGAGGATAATAATAGCACTGACCTCTCAGGGTTCTTGTGAGGACCGAATTAGATAACATGTAAAATGCTTTGCAAATCTTGAAGTGTTATATAAATTCTAGTGATTGTTATCATTATGACTGTTATGATTCTGGGTAGCTGGTGTTTCTGAGACCTAAGAACTTGGTTACCCTTCAGGAGTTTCTTCCACCAGAGACAGGAGATCCATTCTCCTTTCAGGAGCCAGCAGAATGGACCCCAGGGCATGGGACTGCTTCTACTCACTAGTACCTTTCTCTACAAGGTCTGCAACCTTGTCTTTAGCTTGCTCTGTCTTTAACTCTCCTCCTCTGGTTGACCAAAGAAGTTGCTCATGGACAATTTAGTGGCAACTGGGTCCACTAAGAGTCTTCTTCTCCACATCAGTCTAGTAGTTTTGAGAATTATGTAGACTTTCATGAAAGACATCAACCCTGTCTCCAACAGGTTTCAGCCCCTGGACAATGTAGGATCCACAAATCAAGTTTGTCTGCCAGAACTTCTCACCCTGAAACATCCCCCTGCCATCCCAGCTTCCTTCTTCCACTGGTGAGTTCCTTCCAAGGACCTCCATTTTGTGGAGTGGCCCAGAACAGCTATGCTTCATTCCCCTCCTGGTTATGCTTCTGACTCTCTGGACTTTATCACCATGCCCCTCTGAAGGTACTTTTCTCCCTTTTCAATTGCCTTTTCTATGCTGTCTTCCCTCATTAAAATGTAGGCTCCTCAAGGACAAGGCCTGCATTTTTTCCTTTCTTTTATCTTCACCACTTAACACATTCCCTGGAACACAGTCAGCATTTGATAAATGGTGTATCAGTCTCCCTGCCTGTATCAGAGGGTCCCAGCCCCTCTTCCACATCTCCCACTGTTGGAGTACTTCCAGCTCTGCCACACCCATACCCAACCACCAAGCCGAGTGAGCTCGCCCTCCGTTGTTCACACTCTTCTCTTAATCAGGGTCAGCTGGGGCTTGGAAACTGTTTCTAACTAGCTGAAGAATTTGCTCAATTAGCAGTTATCTCCTTCCTGATTTTCTTCCTAGCCTAAAGACCCCAAGGGATATCCTCACTGGTAAAGCCTGATAGCCCCAGAGAGTGGTTTTTCCTGGCCATGCTGGATGAGAGTGGGCAGAAGGTCACCTTACAGGATTTAGGCTGCCCTCATTGCTGCTGCACATCCCATGTCTTATCCTTATGCTTCAGGTAACAGAATAAATCCTTCATGCTCTCTAAGCAATCTGACCCCATGAGGAAAGGGTCTCTTTCAAAGTACCCAAAGGGGACACATATGGAGAAAAGTTCACAGTTCATTATATAAAAGTCCATGAATTGTGAGGTCAGCAAGTAGAGAGATGAGGCTGGCTAACAAAGAACCAAAAGAGATAAGGGGGTCCCATCACTGCAAGTTTTCCTGCCCCCAGGAAGCTGGCTTCCTCAACCTCTCTCTGCTCTACCCTGCCACTGCAATAAGAGGGTTTTAAATTGGAAATAGAGAAGAAGGAAGAAAAGTGCCTGTATACAAACATTAAGCCAGATTCCACATGATGCAGCAGGTTGTAACGCAGCGAACAATAACAGTGAGTGTAGCTGCACAGAGAAACGTGGGAGACAATGTTTTAGAAATTCAGATACTCAAATGGGTTTCTGATGCCTTTCAATGATGTGGATTACAGCCCTCCATGCCCACCTTTCCTCTTCAACTGTTGTCCATGACCTCCCATACATTTGACCCATGACCCAACATGCCAGGAAAGCAGTGGATCCCACAAGCAGTCTAGGGATTATCCCTTGATCTTACCACACAATCAATCCATCTTTTTTGTTGCTCATAAATCTCCTAGATGATCTTCCTTATTCTGCTGCTGCTTCATAATTGTTTGTATGTAAAATATCATCTACTTAAACTACCATATGCCTCTCAATTGCCCATTAGGTAATTTTCAATTTCAGTTCTTTGGAGACTATACGGTTCTATGACTTATAGCCATATAGCACCAGTATGATATTATTTTTTAAAAGATAAGCTATAAATGTTGGAGAGGATGTGGGAAAATTGGGACACTAATGCACTGTTGGTAGAGTTGTGAACTGTTCCAACCATTCTGAAGAGCAATTTGAAACTATGCCCAAAGGGCAACCAAATTGTGCATACTCTTTGATCTAGCAAAACCATTACTATGTCTGTTTCCCAAAGACATCATAAAAAAGGGGAAAGGACCTATATGTGCAAAAATATTTATAGCAGCCCTTTTCATGGTGGCAAAATATTAGAAATTGAGGGGATGCCCGTCAACTGGAGAATGGCTGAACAAGCTGTGGTATACAAATATAATGGAAGACTATCATGCAATAAGAAATGGGTGAACAGGCACATTTCAGAAAAACCTGGAAAGACTTGTATAAAGTAAAATGACAGAACCAGGAAAACATTGCACACAATATCAGCAACATTGTCCAATGATCAGCTATGAATGACTGAGTTCTTCTCAGCAACACAATGATCCAAGACAAATACAAAGGACTCATGAAGGAAAATGCTATCCATATCCAGATAAAGGACTGATGGACTCTGAATGCAGACCAAGGCATATTTTTTTTTCATTTACTTTATTCTTTCTCATTTTTTTTCTTGTGATTTTTCTTTCACAACTGTGGCTAATATGAAAATATTTTTACACGATAACATATGTATAAACTATAACAAACTACCTACCATTTTCAGAAGTGGGGGGGAGGGAGGGAGAAAAAAAGGGAACTCAAAATCTTGTAAAAATGAATGCTAAAACTTTTCTTGACCTGTAACTGGGGGAAAAATAAAATACTATTAAAAATGAAAAAAAAAAGAGCTATTATTTCAGGGAGGGCGGAGAGCTTCAAATTTACTTTCCAGTTTCCCAAAGGCAATCCAGCCCTCTCCCTTACTCTTGTTGGGACATTACCCTCTCCTGGTTCTCCTCCTACCAATCTGACCACCCCTCTGTCTCTTTTGCTGGATCCTCCTCCAGATCCCACTCTCTAATCATAGGTGTCCCATGGGTTTCTGTTCTGGGCCCTCTTCTCTTCACTTGTTGATCTCATCAGTTCCCGTTGATTGAATTACCATCTCAATGCTGATAATTCTCAACTCTACCTACCTTACCCCACTCTCTCTGCTGACTTCCAATCTTACATCTCCAACTGCCTTTCAGACCTGCCAAGGCCTTCTTAATTTCATGTTTGCAATATTTCTTGAATATGCCCCCTTCTTTCCTCTGACACTGCCACCATCACCTCACGCCTGTACTATTGCAATAGCCTATTGATGGATCTGTTTGCCTCAAACCTCTCCCAGCTCCAATTCATCCTCTATTCAGTCAACAAAGTGATTTGCCTAAAGTGACTATGTCCAACTCTGTCATCCCCCTACTCAATAAACTCCAGTGTCTCCCTATCTTCTCCAGGATCAAATAATAATAGTTATTAATAGTTAACATTTATATAGCTTACTGTGTGCCAGGCACTATGCTAAGCACTTTACAATTATTATCTCATTTTATTCTCACAACAACCCTGGGAGTCAGGTACTATTATTATCTAAAATTTACAGTTAAGGAAACTGAGACAGGCAGAATTTAAGTGACTTGCCCTGGGTCATTCAGCTAGGAAGAATCAGAGGGCAGATTTGAACTCAGCTTTCTGACTCCCGTCCCAGCTCATCACCTAGCTGTTAATTGACAAATACAAAAATGCAAAATTCTCTGGCATTCAAATGGCATTCAAAGCCTTTCATAATCTAGCAGCCTCCTCTTACCCCTTCAATTTTTTTACATCTTGCTCACCTCTGCATACTCTTGAATCCAAGGCATTGGCCCCCTTGATGTTCCATCAACAAGACACGCCACATCTTGGCTTCAAGTATTTTTTCTGGTTCTTTCCCATGCCAGAATGTTCTCTTTCCTCATCTCCACCTGCTTTCTTCCTTGGTTTTTTTTAAGTCCCAACTAATATCTCACCTTGTACAGGAAGCTTTCCCAATCTCTCTTAATTCTACTGACTTCCCCCTTTTAATTATTCCCTATTTATCCTGTATATACCTTGCTTTGTATGTAATTTTTGTCTCCTCTATTAGATTGCAAGCTCCCATAGGGCAGGAACTGTTTTTTGCCTAACTTTGTATCTCCATCACTCAGCACAGTGCCTCGCACGTAGTGGTCACTTAATAAATATTTCTGACTTACTGATTCTTCATTCTAGGCCCAAATCAATGTCCTTTGGGAATGTTTGTCCAAGATCTATATTACAGTAACAGATGATATTGGGGCATTTGTGGGGATAGCAGGTCTCAGTGCCTGAAACTCTGTTGAAGACCCAGTTAGCTTCACAATGTAAGGAGGCCAGGGATCTTAGAAACAGACAACAAGGCTTTTTTGTGATGCTTGTACACAGGAGAAGCTAAGTAGTATATAGAAGGCTGCTGGTGCTAGTCAGGAGGTGTGGGTATAAATCTTGGCTCTGAGTGTGACCTTTAATAGATAAATGGGTCAGTATTATTGATGTCCTCTAAGTCAATTTTCTTTTTTAAATATGGTATAACTTAGGAATCAATCTCTCAGTGCTCTCAAAATTGAGTCACCTCTAGCATAAATTTTCCCCTGCATAGACTTAGTCTAGTCCAGCTAATTTTCTCATATTTATTCTATTCAGTTCTTCTGTGATCCTATCTGGAACTGTTTCATTAAAATCTAAGTGATGTTCTCACTGCCCTGGGTGGGGAAAAGAATTTGTCATAAAAATATTTTCAGATCTTTTCCACATTTAATGTGTTTATCCATCCATTTTCATCCTCAAATACTTTCCCAAATACATTGATTTTATAAGAATAATTTATAAACACATCAATGGAATCTGTGATAAAGATATTAGAAGGGAGCTGAAAAGCTTTTACAAATAATATTCTACAATAGACCACATTTTTACCATTGCACAACTGACTGAAATAGGTAGGAAATACAAGATTCAACCATGCATATTGTTTGCTGACTTTTAAAAATCAATTGATTCAGAAAAGGGAAATGCAAACTTAAAAGATTTTCTTCCAATATGATGTCTTCCATGAATATGCAAAATTATATATTTTGCTTGAATATATATCATTCCTTGAAAGACACACTAATAGATAAAATCTTGTTCAATGACCCTGTAACCATTAATATCAGTCAAGGCATAGAAGAGGAATATGTATGCTCACCAAAAGTGTTCACTATTGTCATGGTAGAGGTACAGTTTACAATCCAAGTTGAAAAGAAATTCTCTAAGGATGGTGATGTCTTCCAGATACTCTTGTCTGCAGATGTCATTGTATTGATTGTATTAATTCTTGAAACACTATAGTCTCCTATATGAGCTCCCTAATCATTCAAAAGAGTTTGGCCTAACCATTCAAATAGGAAAAGTCAAGTGGATGAAGAATGCCTATTATTCCCAGATTATGGTATACAATGTCAGAAGCAATATTTGAACCCAGGTCTTCCTAATTCCAAATCCAGCACTGTAGTCTATATTACATGTTACCATAATATCATCAATTAGCTTATTTTAACCAGCATAGTGATTAATTTAGATCCAAATGTGCAGCAATAAACCATTAATTTGACTGAAAAAGGACCAAATTGACCATTGAACAGTCAATTCAGTGGCCTTATATATGGTAACTTCCTTATGATTAATTTATGACATAATTTTACCAATAAATGAAATAAACTACTTAAAAATTCTATTCTAAAAATTCTTTAAAAATAGAATAGCAAATAAATGTGGCTTCCCATAGCACATTTAACTTAAATTACTTAAATAACTTAAATTAAATTACACAATTGCCTTAAATAACACTGGGTTTAAGAGTTCTCGACTCAGTTCCATTCAGCCATTTATTAACTGTGTGATATTAGGCAAGAAATTTCCCATCTCTTAGCCTCAGTGT